GGTTTCCGACAACAGATTTGTCCGTATTTTCTGAAAATCTTGCGAATAATGGCATCGAATCGGAGACCAAATTCATGGAGAGATTGAAAGAATCCAGAGTTCTCTGAGTGTTGAGTGGAATCGCAAACATATTCTGACACTAAATGAAAAATTAAATATTTATATATTTATTTAAATACTTATAAACTTTTGTCGCAATTTTAATGTCAAACAAACCACATCTCCTTTTGCGGTAATAACTTATAACAAAAGCAGAAATAATGAACAAAAGAAGTGCCAAATAGACGAATGCCATACAAATCCACATCCCATTTACTCCCCATACCGTCCACTGTCCGTCCGTTTCAGGATATGAATGCCTCTCAAAGGGACAAACGGCTGGACAGTCAGAACAACTGCACGTGTGGTTTGAATATCCGACAGCCGTCTCATTACAGGCGACAATCTTTTGATTCATAGGTTTGTATCCATCAATAATTTGATCGTCTGTTAATTGAAAGTTGATCTGAAAAGGAGTGGAAGGGAGGAGAGGATTCTGAGTGCCAATTATTTCTAACCAGTTTTCAGGGGAACAATGTTCGGCTCCGTAATGGCCACACATTGCCCCCACAACTGTTGTTTGAAATCCTCCACTAACATGCCTATGTGTGCTCAACATCCGCAACAGTCGCATGCATGCCGAGTATATTATGAAATTAAGACACTCGTAAACAAAGAAACCCAGTGAAAGACGACACCAAAATGGCCACTGACAGTGAAACTCCTGGTGCCGAGGATTACATGACATGTGGATTAGTATTTTAGCGAAATTCACGTAACACGATGGGCACCGGGCGATGCCAGTGAGCTGGGCTTTGGCTATCTGTGAGTTCACCATATCGTAAGCCTGATTGTCGTCGCAACAGAATACCGGCCGACTGTCTGCGAGGGAAATACATGTAAAAAATAATGGTTTTAGTTTTGAATGACTTCAATACCAGTTAGGAGTTCCGGATCGTTCGGCTCCACAGTTATAAAGCCGTTGTGCGGTAACTATGGGGCCGAACACTGTTCGCCCGACCGGTGGGTTGAGTCAATCGGCACCAAAAACCCGTCACCTTTTCAGATCAACTTTCACATAACGACCGATGAGACTATCGATGGACACAAACCAATGAATCAAACGCCGTGGTCTTGTAAAGCAGCACCCATTGGGTACTCCAATCAGCCCTGTAGTTGTGCCGACTGTCCAGCCGTCTGTCCCTTTCAAAAGCATTCGTATCCCGAACCGGATATTCAATGGACGGTATGGGGAGTGAATGGGATGTGGATTTGTATGGCATTCGTCTATTTGGCACTTCTTTTGTTCATTATTTCTGGATTTGTTATAAGTTATTACTGCAAAAGGAGATGTGGTTTGTTTGACATTAAAAATTGCGACAAAAGTTGATACAGTATTTAAATATATTTTTTCATATTTCTTGCATTTAGTGTCAGAATATGTTTGCGATTCCACTCAACACTCAAAGAACTTTGGATTCTTTCAATCTCTCCATGAATTTGGTCTCCGATTCGATGCCATTATTCGCAAGATTTTCAGAAAATACGGACAAATCTGTTGTCGGAAACCATTTAATGTGATTTTGCCGATCATTGGCCTCTTGGATTCTTTCAATCTCTCCATGAATTTGGTCTCCAATTCGATGCCATTATTCGCAAGATTTTCAGAAAATACGGACAAATCTGTTGTCGGAAACCATTTAATGTGATTTTGCCGATCATTGGCCTCACAGTAGCCATCGGTCTGTCGGTGGGAATAGTGACGAGTTTTGTTGCGATGACAGATCCCGTGAGTCTGTGGTCGACCCCTACCTCTCGGGCCCGCAATGAGAAGGACTTCTTCGACCAAAACTTCAGTCCTTTCTATAGAACTCAACAAATCATTGTTCGGCCGAAGAATGAGACACTCGTCACACATCCCGACCCTAAGAACGAGTCCATTGTCTATACGTTTGGACCGGTATTTGAAAAGCAATTCCTATTACAAGTGCTTGACTTACAGCTTAAAGTCATGAATATATCGGTGAGAGTGGACGGGGAGGAAGTGGTGTTGAGTGACCTGTGCTTCGATCCCATGAAGAATAAGATGTGTGCCGTTCAGACACCTTTGGGTTGGTTTCAAAGCAATGCCTTCCGACTCGACTATATCTACAAAAAGGACAAATTGGAGTACAATTACCTGGATCACATGCTCACATGTATGTGAAGAATAAGATGTGTGCCGTTCAGACACCTTTGGGTTGGTTTCAAAGCAATGCCTTCCGACTCGACTATATCTACAAAAAGGACAAATTGGAGTACAATTACCTGGATCACATGCTCTCATGTATGAGCAACTATTTGAATCAATACGATAAAGATTTTGATGGCATATCGTGCGCCGGTAGGTTTGGGGGACCGATGTTTCCCAACGTAGTGTTGGGTGACTTCGATGAGTCTCAACCACTTCCCGAAGCATACCTAACCTCCCGGTCTATTGTCATCACATTTCTGCTCAACAATAATGTGGACGACAGTAAAAACAGGAAAGCCATACAATGGGAACAGGAGTTTCTCAATCTATTGCATGGTTACAGTCATCCGAATCTAGAGATTGTATACTTTTCTGAGGTTTTGAAGAATATTCTGTTTAATCACAAAAGCATTTGAGGGCTAAAAATAAATTTCATTTCTATTCAGCGCTCACTTCAGGACGAGTTGGACCGACAAAGCATATCCAGTCTCACGACTGTTGCCATCAGTTATAGCGTTATGTTTGTCTATATCTCCATAACTTTGGGTCGTTTCACAACATTTCGCAGACTTTTCGTAAGTTTTCAGAAGTTGTCATAACTTTAAATCTATTGTAAAACTTATTTCATGTGATTTTCATCCATAGATTGACTCAAAGATGGTTTTAGGGTTGAGTGGAGTCCTAATAGTGTTACTATCGGTCACCGCATCCATCGGTTTACTCAGCATTTGTGGCGTTAAGTCAACGCTTATTATAGCAGAAGTGATCCCTTTCCTCGTACTGGCCGTCGGAGTCGACAATATTTTCCTTTTGGTTCAACACTTTCAGCGCCAGTCGTTTGGCACAGAAGTGTCTGTTGAGGAACGGGTGGCCGAAGTGCTGGAGAGTGTCGGGCCGTCTATACTGCAGGCCGTGGTGTCCGAGTCGTCGTGTTTCCTGTTGGGAGCCCTGACTCCTATGCCAGCCGTCAGAGTGTTTGCACTGAACGCCGGTTTAGCTCTTCTCATGGCTTTCGTCCTTCAGATGATTGCTTTCATACCATTCCTCGTGTTCGACACAAACAGACAGTTAGACAACAGGTATGAAGTGTTTTGTTGTGTCCGACAACACAAAAAACAGGATATGGAGAGCAAGGATGACAAGGGATTCCTCTATCGATTCTTTCAACACATTTACGCACCGTTTCTGATGAGGGATTGGATTCGTGTTTCAGTGGTAAGTCATTTATACGACCATTGAGGGGAAAGTTATCACAAATCTATTAACACTAAGAATGGATTCAATTGACAGATAAGTCTATTCATCGGATGGTTCTGTGCATCGGTTGCGGTCATCAGTGAACTGGACGTCGGTTTAGACCAACGACTGTCCGTTCCGTCCGATTCCTATGTATTGCCATATTTTAACGCTCAGATGAATTCCCTGAGAGTGGGAGCGCCGGTATATTTCGTGGTTAAGGGTCCATACGATTACGACAACAAATTCTATCTTATTGGAGGTGGCGCCGGGTGTTCATCAAACTCCTTGTCCTCTCTACTAACAGATGCTTCAAAGTATTCAAATCAATCCTATATTGCGACTACTGTTCCCAACAGTTGGATCGATGACTATAACAGTTGGGGTAATCCTAGTAATGACCGGTGCTGTCGGTTGCATAACAAGAATGTGTCGGCTTTTTGTAACTCTACGGACGGTATGTTTGCATAAAAAATATTGTTTAAGAGTTAGTAAAAAGGGATTAAATGTGAAATAGAGAGCAAAGACTGTTTGGGTTGTGATATCTATGACCAAGAAAATTTAAAAATTAAATCTCAAGATTTTTACGGTCCATATCTCAACTACTTCTTAGGAGACATCCCAAACTACAAGTGCTCTAAAGGGTATAGATATTCATTCAGTACTACTTTTTATAACAATAATTATTTTCATATTTTTTGTGCCAAAACTAGTGGTGGACCGGCTTATGGACCGTATGTTCACTTAGATTACAGTCAAAACAATCCACATTTCATAAAAGGTATGTTTGAAATTCAAACTTTGAATGAAATTCTGTTGTCAACTCAATTTAACTTTTGTCTTAAAGCCTCGTCTTTTAATACATACCATACGGTGCTTAAGAACTCTCATGACTTCATATCTGCCCTCAAAAACGCCAGAATATTAGCCGATAGTATGACTGAAGCTATAAATCGCCAAAACAAAGAGGACGACCAGTATGTAGAGGTCTACCCCTACTCTATATTCTACGTATTCTACGAGCAATACCTAACCATCTGGAGGGACACTGTTGTCAATTTGGTGATTGCATTGTCGGCTATATTTGTGGTGACCTTCATATTCTTGGGTTTCGATGTGATGTCATCAGTGGTTATAATCATCACAATTGTTGCCATAATTGTAGACCTA